CTGCAGGAGAATAGGTGGGCCTGGGTGAGTGAGTGCCCAGCATAGCACCCATGGGCCCGGTAACGAGGCTGCTCTGAAAGGCAGGCTGGCCAGCACCCAACACAGAAAGCAAGCAAAGCTGTATAGCATGAACCAAACAGATTGATTTCTATTGCTGTGAGAGGGTGAAGATGAGACCATGGTCCATCAGGATGGCTGCCACATGGCCCACAAGACTGGTGTGCACAAAGACACATTTATAACCACATGAACAGGTAGACCAACAGTCCAGGAAGGAAACAACAGCTGCTGACAAGTCAGACGTACTGATGTCTGCAATCACCGCTCTGGCCACCAGCTGGTGGGGATTTGTATTTTGTTAATTACATAATACAAACTAACCATGATCAGAGCTACATAATGAAAAGGCAGGCAATTTAAAAGTTTTCAAAGGATTTTTATCAGTCTAAATAATGAGGCCGCCATGGATTATTACAGCTCTTCTGTAACAGAGCAGGTGGAAACTAACTCTACCAAATGGCCCTCCACATTGATCGGGTCAAGATTTATCCCCAGCCTGCCTCCAAACTGAGCTGAACTGTGCACACTCTGTAAAGCAAATGCTTAGACATGTTTAAACTGGTTTAAGTATTTTTGAAGACAGACCATCTATGTCAAAAGGAAAGCAATACAGTCCAGAAACCAAAGGCAACAATCAAATAGGAAGTAGGGCTGGATTCCACAGATGCCTAGGGGGGAGAGGGGTAACCAGCACAGCCTGCATCAACACAACCTTCCAAAGACAGCCTGGATCTGTCCAAGGTCTGGGCTGCTGTTTATGACTGGTAGTATTGTATTTGTTTCAATCTCACACATTTGTTAGAAGTTCTTAAATGTTTAAATCATGCATTATTGAATTAGTGTTCCCAGCTCAGCCTGTTCTACATGAGGAGTTAACGATGCCAATCCCGTGCTAAATGGGGAAACACTAGGAAATGATTTAAACCCTCCGTAAATTTTATTTGGAAATTAGTGAACACCTCATCATGATTTCTAATTAAAACAGCTCTAATTAACATAGACATTCATTAGCCCTCTCCCTGCCCCTCCCCCACAAGACACTGTGGTGCAGCAGCCTTGCAAGGAGCTGCCCACCAGCTGCAGGAAGGGCGGACGATGTGCAGATAGGCAGTTGCTGTATCTATTCTGGGAAGCAGTGCTCACCTGAGCCTGAGCGCTGCCACTCACAGTCTGGGAGCCGCCAATCACTTCATCTACAAGCAGCGCCTCACTCGCTCTCCAGCTGCGGCAAGCAAAATCTCCAAGGACTTCAGAGCAGTGCCTTTTGTTAAAATCAGTTTGTAGAGACAGGTCTAGGAAGTGTCCATTCAACTGACAGCAGAGCAAAGCAATATCTGCCTTCCTACTGAAGGTAGGGCATCATTAGTCCAAGGGCTACCACCTCACTGGGCCCAGGCAGCCCTACATACCCACAGGATGGCCTGGGTTAGTGTGCTGACCTGTGTGACCAGAGGAGCCAGAGGACCCCATAACACCCTGAAGGGCCTGTCTTCACAGCGGATCCTATAGGCACAAGTGGAAGTAGCCAGGTTTCAGCTTTGAGGGGTACCATCTACCTACTGAGATACACAAAGATACATGTACTAATCTGGGTAAGGTCAGGCTAGTAGCCACTGGGTGCAACAAGGGCTAGTGAGATCAGTGCAGGGCCTGGGCAGCACATCAACCCAAGACTGACCACCATGTACCACAGGAAGATTGTGATTGCAGTATTAAAGTGCTGGGTCTCAGACTCCTATGTCTGTGCCCCATGGGAGTCAGGAAATGGCCAGTGAAACTGCCCTCAGTCCTGGAAGCCAAAGTACTGAAGGCAGATCCACAACAGGAAGCTAGGACTGCAGCTGGTTTAAGACAGCTAGCAGGAGTCAGGCAAGCCTTTCAGTCTTCTTTGCTGTAGTACTGGGGATTGAACCTAGTACCTCAAACATGCTAGGCAGTACTCTACCACTGAGTTAAATCCCCAAGCCTTTATCTATTTTGAAACAAGGGCTCACTAAATTGCCCAGGCAGCCCTAGAAATCAGTCTGTAGCCCAGTCTGGTTTTTAAGTAATGATCTTCCTGACTCACCCTCTTTACCCTCTTTTTCTTTTCTTTTCTTTCTTTCTTTCTTTCTTTTTTGTTTTTGTTTTTTTGAGACAGGATTTCTCTGTATTGTTTTAGAGGCTGTCTTGGAACTCGATCTGTAGCTCAGGCTGGCCTTGAACTCGTGATCCTCCTGCCTTCAGCAAATTCTACCAGCATGCACCACCACAACCGGCCTGACTCACGTAATTGGGATCACAGGCTTTCATCACCAGGTCCAGCTTCCACTTAGCTGCCTTGGGTGCATGGCCACTATCATACAGGTAACTGAGCCATGGTCACAAGCCATATAGGAAAAATGGAGCTTTCTTACCTGGGCTCTGGGGATGGAAGTTGTAGCACCCGGAGATGACTGAACTAAATGCAGAACCCTGACCCAGAAGTTGCATATCCTCACCACCCACAAAGGTATCATGAGTGGCCTGTAGGACAGAAGACTGCTCAGGTTCCCTCCAGCAGCCAGGAAATACAGAGCTAAGAGATATGGCTAAGGCAACAGTGCCCAACAACACCCAGCTTTGCCTATCTGACAAAGCTTTAGGCCAAGGCTTGCTAAGACCCTCAGGGCTAAGTCCTGCCAGCCCCAGTGCTGCTGGTGGTCCTAGGCCTTGCAAAACCCTTCTGTGCTACCCAAGAACATTCAAAACTCTGTGGCTACTCCCTGGAACACTGGCTACCCAAGGATAGCACTGCACTGCCAAAACCCATCAGTAAGGTGACTGCCCACATAATGTAGGAACTGGTTTGGCTGAGCTCTTCAGCAGAATAGTGAGATGGCCTTCCACTTCACAGGCTCAGTCTTGGCCAAACCTGAGGGCACTGATAACTTGGGACACTGAGTGCAGAGAACAACAAACTCTGACTGCTACAGTGAGGGTTGGAGAAATGTTCTCCACTGTAGACACACAGTGCTCAAAATTCATAAATCTGACTTAGATAAGTGACACAACAAAATGACACAACTCTCATAAGACATTAATGGCACACACCAAACACTGCCAAACAGACTCAATTGCAGCATTGTATTTTCATCATTGCCATAAACTCAACTGTTGGTCGACTGAAGGAGAAGCAAGGTCGCCCTCTGCTGGTCCACATCACACATACCCTCTGCAAAGCTGGGACCACCAGAACTGTTAGGAGCTCCCTCCTAACTCATCTGGCTCTAGCACTTCCTGTATGTACTGCCCTTCCAATGTGCCTACTAGCTGCCACAGGGTACTAATCAGGGTCTCTAAATGATAGACATTGGGTGTCCTTGGTTTCAGGCTGGAGCTGTGGATGGCTTCAAAGTTGACCTCTTCCTCAGTAAAAGACAGTGTTGTTTCCACCTCAAAGCTAACTTCCAAAACAGAATTCACAAGTCAGACTGCCCAGGTCAGCTGGCCCACTAACCTCTAAGGCAGTGGTTCTCAACCTTCCTAATACTGCAACTCTTTAATACAGTTCCTCATGTGGTGGTAACCCCCAATCATAAAATTATTTCATTACTACTTCATAACTGTAATTTAGCTACTATTATGAATTGTAATTTCAATAACTGATATGTAGGATGTCTGATAGGTGACCCCTATGAAAGGTCAGACCCACAGGTTGAGAACCATTGCTCTAAGGCTAGGCTCAGGGGCTAGGCTCAGGGTTCAGGTTTAAGACAGGATTCCACGGGGACGTGGCAGCTCTGATGTCTGTTTTCTCTGTGTGGAAATCAGCTGAGAGGAGCCAGTGAGATGTCTCAGCTAGAAAAGGCACTTGCCAAGGACCTGAGTCTTGTCTCTGGACCTACATGGTACAAGGAGAGAACTTACTCCCATAAATAAATGTAAAGTTTTAATTAAAACCACCTAAGAGAAACATGGGATGATGACTGTCAGCTGGAAGCTGTGAGAAGAAGCAGGTGACAAAGAGTCTGGACTGTGACAGTATTGTGTCGTGCAACCAAAATCTCAAGACCCATCTACCCCAAGTGCAGCCATATTCCCCAGCTCTGTGGACATTTGTCCATGCAGGCTTCAGGCACAGGGTTTCCATTCCCACTCCAAGGGCATCCCCTCATCCAGGCATAGCAATATACTTTGCCGTCCAGCCAGCTCCAGTGTACCTGGCATGGATGGCCTCTGTGGCTCCTAGGTCACTACAGGACTGAATCCTTGCCCACTACCAGGCACCCAGAGCACATGCCCCATACCTCTGTCTGGCCCTGTCTGGGACTCCTGTCTCTCCAGCCCCATCCATGGGACTCACGTACTCCTGCTCTATCTCAACACCAGATCCTCACTCAAGATACAGCACCTTGTCAGACCCCCCGAATATCAAAAATATACTGCTTTTACTTACAAACAACCTGGCCTATCCAAGTTTGAGGCCACACACAGTCCGACAGGTGGCCTTCAGATCTCCACCCCAAAGGACACAGTACCATGCCCACCTGACTACACCAGAACATTCTGTAGGTTTCATTCTGTCTGACTGATGTGCTAGCAACTCCACAGAAGTACCCTCCCCTACTTAACACTAAGCTAGGGCACACCCTGGTTCTTTGGGCTCTCAGGAGGTGCCCTTGACACATGGGTTTTCAGTACTTTGTAAGTATCCTTGGCTATAACACAGGATGAACAGACCCCAACAGCAGTAATGTAGCTACCATGAAGTGACTTCACAGAAGACCTGCTGAGGGACAGGCCAGAACCCCAAACCCAGAGGAGCAGGTCGATCCTCTCTCGGGAGAGACTGAACTGGGACCCCCACCACAAGAACTTAGTAAGGAAAAGCTCAGAATCTTCTGAAGCTTGTGACACCTGCCTGCTGAAACGGCTGAGTGCAGACTCCTGGGACCTCTCAGCTCAGCTCCACAACTCACCCTGCTCCTCTGTCCTCTCTCAGGCTTGATGTTCAGTTCCTCATATTTCTTCAGAGCAAGTTCCAATTCCATTTTCAGGTCAATGGCCTGTTTTAAGTGTTCACTGTAGATCCCTGCACGGGTAAACCGCTGTAAAACAAAGGATGACTCACAAAGGTCCCAGACGGTCCCCAGAGAGCCTGGTCTGGCCAGGAGGCCCACTGCCTAGTTGTCCCTTACAGGAAGGGACAAAGCTCTAGGGAGAGGGGTAATGTTAATCCCCACCCAGGTCAGTGTTCTCGACTTCCACATCCTTGCTTTGCCTTGTCTTTGAGCCCAAGTTCACTGCTGAAGGCCAGGTACTCAGCCTCACCTGGACCCAGGAGCACACAGCTGGCAGAAACTTGATCTGGATGAGTCTGAGCGAGTCTCGAGCAGCATGGAGGACAGCAAGGTTGTCTTCATTCTCTAGGACCTTTAGACCATCTAAAACAAGGCAGAGTAAGTCACAGAAGAATGCTAAGGCTGGCCATGTAGCAGAGGCCATTAAGCCCATTGAAAATGTGACTCCAAGCAGGTCCCAGACACTGGTCAACCCTGAGAGAAAAAACACTGTCTAGGAAAATATCTGGGATGATATAAACAATTCTGGCTCAGCATTGAGGCTGCCCCTCATACAACTCCACTGTCTCAGCCATGGCATCTCACCCAGAGGGCTAGATCTCCCAGAGCCACCTTCTCTTGTCTTTCTCTCAGGACTGTCTTCACCTGTTGGTTCCAGGGTCTCAGTGACCCCTGCCATTCTGCCTTTTCTTGACAGGCTCTTCATTTCCTTCAAATGCCTGCTAGGCAGGGTCTCCAGAAAGGACCTGTATGCTTACAAGGCAAGGTGCAGTACATCAAAGATATTAACCTGAAGCTGTGGATCTTGAAGAGGACACCTGGTCCAACAAAGATAGATAGATGGACAAGTAAGCACCTCTGTACCCACAAGGCTGGAATGTCAGAGCAAAACACTACTCTGCCACATCCCTGCCACTGTAAACACAGAAAGAAATTGTGCTTTGATCACATTTTCCTCCTAGGAAGGTGCCTCTGGTAGACCTTCACATGTAATGCCCATACAGCTGCCAGGGACTCTGTATTCCTGCTCATAATCTCATTAGTATAGGGCTATAATGCCCAGAGAATCCCAAGTAGCTGATTCATGGTGATGGAGGTCCAGCATGATGGCAGAAACCTAGAGCACAGTTACACAAAAAAGACTAACCAGATGGAGGTCCCTCTACCCGTCACAGCCCAGCCCAAGGAACTGCTGTTCCCAAGTCTAAATTCTACCATGGGACAACCTGGTGCTAGTGAGGGAGCTACAAACCTGGCTAGGTCAGAGAATCACATGGAGGCACTGCACAACATCAGCAACCAGTTACCTGAGGGGAGTTCCACGTCCAGTGTGTACTTGTGGGATCCCAGCCCATGGCTCCTCAGGAACTCCTCTGGGTCACTGTGCTCATCCTCATCCCTGGAGGGGTCTTGCATGGATGACTGGGCTAGTGCCTTCAGACCAACAACAGATTCTACATGGTATGTAGAGGCAACCAGGTCCTTGCTACAGCATGGCTGCTCTTCATTCTGGGATCCAGGGAGATCAGACTCATGAGAAGTTGCCTCACCAAAGAATTTATCCTCTGGGTATGGGCCCAAGTCCAAGGGCACCAGCAGCTTAAAGCAGTTTTCCACTTCTGTCAGGCAGCATCTGATTTCATCAGACATTTCTGCAGACATTGAAACACCTGATTATTATGTCATCTTGAGCCAGAGAGCAACAGATGGCCAAGACTACTCCTCAAGGCACCAAAGGGAGGGTTCATGGTGCCGCCAAGAAAAGCCAATGCCCTGGCACAAAAATCGTAACACTTCCAACTATTTAATAAGCTAGCACAACAGTCTTTGGATTACATCTCTGATCATGACTATGTGGCAGCTCACAGGAGCTAATGTGACCACTAACACGGGCCAACCTTCCACTCAGGATGGTGCCAGGGCAGGACATGTCATCACTACAACATACTTGACAGGGCGCCCCTTCCTGGGGCCCTCTACACCATCCACAGCACAGCTATGTGACTGCAGCCTATCCCAAGGCCTGGGCTTTCAAGCCCACACTGAGGACAGGTGTGTGCAGGAGGTTCCGGACACAAGAAGAACCTAAGACCTGCTTCTAAGAGCAGAGAGCACTGTACCATCTCACCAGGCCTGGCTCCCAGGAAGGAGGAGGATCTGGGAAAAGAACTAGCAAGAACAGATGTTGGACAGGAGAAGAATGAACAAGGTCTCCTGCTAGTGACCAAGTGTAGACTCCTTCCTGGATTCACACCTATGTCCAGCCTCTCTGTTCAGAGAGTCTTAAGCCAAGTAGTTATAGGAAGACCAAAGCACCAGGATACACATGAGCTACAGGCAGCCTGTTAAGGCTCAACCCCATCCTGAACCATCCTGTCTTGCAAACCTGAGATTGAAGAACAACTAGGGAACAAGTACAAGAAGCCATAGGGGGCAGTTTCAAGGGCTTAGCCTAGGAACTTACCTTCCATTTCCCTCTTAGCCCGTTCAGCACTTTCTCTGTGGATTTTATCCAAGTGCTTCTGCTTCTCCTCTTCTCGCTTCCTTTCTGCCACAGTCCTAGCATTGACATCCTGAAAATCCACCTGAGAATTTGAAAAGGAAGTTTAGGATTGCCTACAACAAACACAAACCCAAGTAAAGAAGACACATTGCCATCAACACAAGGCCAGGATCTTGATGGTTCTTAGTCTACAGCATCTCAAATGGGCTGCCTCATCCTGCCACATCTCCCACATCCAGCACCAAGTGCAGTGCTGTTAGGAAGCAGCATGCTTCTCTAACGGCAGTCCAGGGGCTGCCAGCTAGACCCAGAGGGGACACACAACCCAGGAGTGAACTCCGGAGAACAGGGGACATCATACAGGAACCACAACCATTCAGGAAGGCCCATCCAATGACAGGGGCATGACAGAATCTGGGCAATGACAGAAGGGCTGGAAGACATAACATTACTAAGCACAGCACCAGTCAGTGCCCATGGCAAGAATACGGTATGTCCCAGAAAGGGGAGCCCATCCTAAAGCAGAGGGCATCTAGGAGGATGATTCTACAGGTTCAGCTCCACACTCAGGCAAATGCCAGGTGCAGTTTTCTTTGCTAAGGCTGTTCTGATCTTTAGGGAGCATCCTCCATTCTACTGTATGCTGATCCAGCTGCTTTGTCTACCCAGGTCTGTACACCCTGCAAAAAAACTCAATGAAAAGAGCTCTTTCATTGGCTAGCCAGTCTCACCCACCCCAAGGAAGCAGACTGTCCTGTCCAAGACACACTTACCTTTTTGGTGTGTTTTAAGAAGTGGTAGCCCAAGGCTAGCTTCTTATAGGCCTCCCCAAACTTCTCATTCCAACCTTCTACAGCCTGCATGGCTGCTTGCTTTAGCCTCTGGGCTGCCTCCCGTGGGGGTGGCAGGGGATGGTCATTATCTGTGCCTAGGGTGAGCTCTAGGAATTCCTGGAAGTCAGAAACAAGCAGCACTCTGAACTGATGAGACCTGGTGAAGAGCTCATCCACGATCTGGAAGGCCGAGAGGCGTATCTCAGCATGGTCTTGGGTCAGCTGTGTCTTCAGCAGGTGGTAAGCATGGCTCAGCTGCTCCTCTGAAGACCTGGGAGCACAAGCCAGCCTCACCAAATGCTCACTCATGAAGGACAAAATAAGTGTCATTCTTTGTGTAGGGACACTACATTAACAAATGGCAGGGACTGTGCTTAGCATGCAATCTTCATTCTTCCCTTCTAAAGCTGAGTGGACATACTAGTGTCTAAGCACCAAAGGTGCCCATTGCTGTCCTGTTTCAGTACTGCTCCTGAGCCAAGAACATTTTCTACATTTTCAAATGGCTAAAGCAGCTGTTGATGTGGCACAATGGTAAAGCACCTGGCTAGCACGTGTGAGGTCCTCAGCTGGACCTCCAGCATTGCAAGATAAATACCATGGTTGAAACACATAAGATAATGCTTTTTTGACATATGAACATTACATTAAGCATCAAGTATAAGGGGCTGGAGAGATGGCTCAGTGGTTAAAAGCCCAAGCTGCTGGGTTTGATTCCTAGTACTCACATGGAGGCTCACAACCATCCCTAATTCCAGTTCTAGGAGATCCTACATCCTCTTCAGGCCTCCCTGAGCAGCAGGCATGCACATGGTGCACAAATACACATGCCATCAAAATACCCATATACATAAAATAATTAAAAAAAAAAAACAAAGTCTACCACTGGATAGTCCCCAGCTGCTTGCATAGTTGACATCCACAGTATATTAGGTCCTTCACAGTGTAACAGTAAGACAGGAAAGTAAGGCAGAGAGTGGGGTTCAGAAGGCCTTGTATAAAGCCTTACAAGATTAGGAGAAAAACATACTGGCGCCATTGACATAGGGACAGAAGTACTCTAGAATAGCTAAGAGTAATCAAAGGTTCATGCTAACACTAAAATACACAACCCTTGGTGGAAACTTAAAATGTTAATGAGTCATGTGATGCATGAAGGTACATATAGAACTATATATAACAGGAAATACACAGAAAGCTTGTACTGTGTAAATAAGCTTCCCTTGGAAGTATATCTTTCTTTCCTTCCTTCCTTCCTTCCTTCCTTCCTTCCTTCCTTCCTAAAGAAGATGTACTACTAGTGTATGTGTGTGTTAGTGCAGGCATACACATGCCATGGCATGCGTGTGGAGATCAGAAGACCATGTTCAGGAGTTGGTTCTCTCATTCCCAGAGCAAATGTAGGTTGTCAAGCTTGTAAGGTAAGTGCTTTACCCACTGAGCCATCAGCATGCCAATGCTTGAATAAGCACACCAAAAGATAATCTGGTTGGTCATGAGCAGAGGTTAGAAGTCAGCCCTTCATGAATCAATCAAGGTATGCTGCAAAAGTCACACATCAGGGGCGGGATGTAGTGGCACACACCGTTAATCTCAGCACTCCAGAGGCAGAGCCAAGTGAACCACTATCGAGTCTGAGGCCAGCCTAGTGAGTTCAAAGCCAGCCAAGGCTACACAGTAAAACCCTGAATCTAAACATTAAAAAATAAAAATAAGAAAAGTCACATACCATGTCCTGTGGCAACTCCCTGGTAAGGACAAGCAATTTCTTTCTTTCTTTCTTTTTTCTCTTTCTTTTTTTCTTTCTTTCTTTCTTTTTTTCTTTCTTTCTTTCTTTATGAGACTTTATTGTAATTTAACGAGCTAACCCCATGTTAGCTCTGGTCTTTTGTCCACCCACCAGGCTCACGATTGGTGTGCCTCCAGGCTTGGAGGGCTTGCCCTGTGTCGATCGGTCAACTGGTTGTTATGGCCCATAGGCCCTCCCAGGGTGGTTGCTATGCTCTGTGCGTCATTGCTGGGTGTAAAGTACACCCAGGGTCGTAAAGCATAGCACCACCAGCTAACTTCTGATTGGTTCCTTGTCACGAGGCAGGCACCTAACCTCTAGTGACTAAGACAAGGTCTTAGCGAGCACATGTTACTGTAATGGCTACTGAAATGGGGAGCTGTTTTGTTTTTTCTGTTTGTTTGTTTTGTTTTTTGTTTTTTCGAGACAGGGTTTCTCTGTATAGCTTTAGAGCCTATCCTGGCACTCGCTCTGGAGACCAGGCTGGCCTCAAACTCACAGAGATCTGCCTGCCTCTGCCTCCCAAGTGCTGGGATTAAAGGCGTGAGCCAACAACGCCCGCCCAGCAAGGACAAGTAATTTCAAAGGAGCCATTAAACCACACTTACATATCCCTCAGCAATCACTTTCTTTTGTCTCCCTGTTTGCTTGCCCCAAGGCTTAGGTGGATGCTCAGAGACTCAATTATGCAAGCATCTGTCCAGTTGGCTCAGTGCAGTTGGCAATGGTGCAGTGGATACGTCTGGAACGTATCTGGTCACTAGCTCTGTTGTATGCTGCTACCTCCTGGTGCTTTCCTGAACCATGGAAGCCCTGCTTGCCTCTCTCCAGTCTTAGCCTTCTTTTCAGAACTCCTCACTAGAGCTCTGGACTTCTAGATAGCTTCCCTGTGCCAGCCATTTTCTATCCTCTTTTGCCTTGTCCTTTCTGTTCACTTACAGTAGACAATCCACCTATAAGGCCACTGATTTAGCTTCCCAGATATTTTATATTCCCTTACATATGAGGTCCAAAGTCTTCATTTTTTTAAATGAGTCCTTTTTTTTAAAGATTTATTTATTATAAATTATTTATTATAACGTGTTCTGTCTGTCTGTATGCCTGCAGGCCAGAAAAGGGCATCAGATCTCACTACAGATGGTTGTGAGTCACCATGTGGGAATTGAACTCAGGACCTCTGGAAGAGTAGTTAGTGTTCTTAACCTCTGAGCCATCTTTCCAGCCCACTCCTGTTTCCACTTTTCACCTGGTTGACAATCTGGAAAAATACAGAGCACCCAAGCAGGCAAACTTCTTCTTTGACTAACCTAGCTGTCTGGTTATTTATTTAGAAAAATAATTTATTAGCCAGGCGTTGGTGGTGCACGCCTTTAATCCCAGCACTCGGGAGGCAGAGGCAGGGGGATCTCTGTGAGTTCGAGGCCAGCCTGGTCTCCAGAGCAAGTGCCAGGACAGGCTCCAAAGCTACACAGAGAAACCCTGTCTCGAAAAACCAAAATAATAATAATAATAATAATAATAATAATAATAATAATAATAATACAATTTATTTAACTTTGTTTTATGTGCACTGGTATCAGATCCCCAGGAACTGGAGTTACAGACAGTTGTGAGCTGCCATGCGGATGCTGGGAATTAAACCTGGGTCCTCTGGAAGAGCAGCCAAGCACTCTTAACCACTTGAATCATTTCTCCAGCCCCAGCTTGGGACTTTTCAGAGGCTCTCAGGAAAAGACTTTTCCCACCAAGGCAGAAAGAAATGTGCCTGTAGCAGGGACTTGCATTCCAGTCCCAGGAAATTTAATGCAGGATATGTCCCTGAAGAGACAACACTAGCCTATCTGTCAATGAGACACAGAAAAGCTGGGGCCTCAAAGCAGTGTTTCTAATCATTGGGTAAGCCACATTCAATTCACCCAGAACCCCCAGGGAGTGTGATGGACTCGGGGATATCCCAATCCCTCAAGTTTCCTGAGGATTCTACACACAAGTCAGAGGGAAGTATCTTCCTACACCCACAGGCTGCTTCTTGTCTCTCCTCTTAAGATACACACTTGGATGCCTGGCTACAGAGCATCCTCAAGAACTGAAATTATGTTTGATCCTGGGCTGTCAAAATGGCTTAGCAGGTGGATGTGCTTACTGGGTATGTCTGAAGATCTGAGTTAGATCCCTGGAACCCACACAAAAGTGGAAGGAGAGAACCAACTCCACAAAGTCATCCTCTGACCCACATACGCCTGTTTGAACCGCATGTGCATTAATGTGTGCACATACACAAATAATACATTTCAAAAATGATCCTGAGAGCTTAAAGAAAAAGAGGCTAATATTTTACTGTAACATCTTCTGGTCTTGATATAGGCTGGCTGGTAGGAAGTTTGGCCAAAGAATGAAGGACCTAAACTTGGTCCTCACTATTTGTACTCCTGACAAAAAGTAGAGGATCTGGGAAGAAAAGAAGAAGTATACCAATAGATTATTTACCCAAACTCTCACTTCTGTTCATTCTGAGTGAATACCTTCCCAGATCAGGAACTTACTAATTGGTGTCATATCACCCCAGTAAGGACTCACAGATGTAGACTGGTGATTGAAAACCTCCTTACAGGGATGAAAAGTTAAGAAACATGTCAACTACAATAAAACCAGAAAAGCTGCTCCATGTCTTAGTTTCTTCTCTATTGCTGTGATTAGACTCTATGACCAAGGAAAGTTTATTTTGGGCTTAACAGTTTCAGAGGGTTAGAATCCACAATAGTGGAGCATTAGCTGAGAGTACTCACCTTAAACCACAAGCAGGAGGCAGAGAGAGCTTGGGGATAGCACAAGGCTTTTGGAGACACAATGCCTGCCCCAATGACACATCTCCTTTAACAATAACAATTGAGGTGCCTCAGAAAATTATTGATGTGGCTGGGAAATTTTAAATTTCTTTCCAATATAGTTTGTTCTCTGCATGTCCTGATTGTTGAGAGTGTTTTGGTCAACTTGACACAAGCCAGAGTTATCTGAAAAAAAAATCTCAGTGGAGACACTGTCTCCAGACCGCCTGTGGGCAAACAAGTCTGTGGGGGCGCACTTTTTTTTGTTAATATTGATGTAGGAGGGCCCAACCCACTGGGGATGACCCACCCCTGGGCAGGTAGTCCTAAATTGTATAAGAACGCAGATTGAGCAAGCCATTGGGAGTAAGCCAGTAAGCAGTATTCCTAAATGGATTCTGCTTCAGTTCCTTCCTCCCTCCTACTTCAAGTTCCTGCCCTGGTTTCCCTCAGTGTACAATGTGACCAAGTTTTAAGATGAAATAAGCCCTTTTCCCTGCAAATTGCTTCTGGTCATAGTGATTTTATGACAGTAATAGAAAAGTAACTAAAACACAGCCTTAAGCAATAATCCAGAATCTCTTACTAAACAAACTTGTGTATAACCAGGGTTGATGGGAATGCTCAAAAGCCAAAGGAGCTATTGTTTTCTGCTTCATTTCTTGCTTCTAGGTTCCTTTCTTGAGTTCCTGTCCTGATGGACTAAAAGATGTAAGATGAAATAAGCAACTCCACTCCAAGTCACTTTTGGTATGGTGTTCACCACAGCAACAGAAAGCAAATGAGATCAAGGCCCTGGCTGTAGTCATCATGTTACTCTTGTTTGGACATTGCATTTTTAATTTCTTTGTCTTCTAATGTCTTCTAAGATACAGCAATTTCAGTGTAAACTGGGGAATCCAAATTCTCCTCCTCAGTCACTAGATGCAGTTTTGTGATCCCTCTTACTTGCCCTGAGATATCATGGAAGTAGTTATAGATGATCACTTTTTTTAACTTAAAAAAATATTGTTGTGTGTTTGACTCATGGTGTGTGTGTGTGTGTGTGTGTGTGTGTGTGTGTGTGTGTGTGCATTCTACAGCACATATGTGGAGATAAAAAGATAACTCTATGGAGTTGGTTCTCTCCTTCCACCTTCTCAAGGGTGGAAGGATTAATCTCAGGTTGCAGGCTTGCATAGGAAACACCTTCACCATTTTAACAGCCACCAGATTGCCCTTCTTCAGCTTCCTTGCTTCCCTAAAGGATTCCTAAAACCACAGATCTCAGGTGGAAAGTGAGGTCCAAAAGGCCTTGTACAACGCTTACATAATTAAAATACACTCCTGGGGGGGATTAAGATGCTAAGGAGGCATTGTCTTAGTTACTTTTCTATTGCTGTGATAAGACACCCAATCAAGGAAACTTGCAGAAGAAAGTTTACTGGGGCTTACGGTTTCAGAAGGAGAGTCCATGATCATCATGGTAGGAAGCATGGCAGAAGGCAAAGTATTGGATCAATAGCTAAGAGCTCACATCTTGAGACAACAAGAAGCAGAAAGTAAGATAAGTAGGAATGGAATGGGCTTTTAAAACCTCAAAGTCATCGGGTGTTGATGGCGCACGCCTTTAATCCCAGCACTCGGGAGGCAGAGGCAAGCGGATCTCTGTGAGTTCGAGACCAGCCTGGACTACAAGAGCTAGTTCCAGGACAGCCTCCAAAGCCACAGAGAACCCTGTCTCGGAAAAAAAAATAAATAAAAATAAAAATAAAAAAACAAAAGACCTCAAAGTCCACCCCCAGTGACGCACCTCCTCCAACTAGGCCACACCACACCTCCTAATCCTTCCTAAACCATTCCACCAACTGGGGACCATGCATTCAAATAGATGAGCCATTCTTATTCAAGCTACCACAGATGTGGAATGCATGAACTAATTACATAGAAATACAACAGACGGAGCAGGAAAAGCTCACAATAAGATAACACAAGAGCCCAACTCTTTGTATAGCAGGGATATTTGAGACGTTAAACTTTCTCCTTTCTCTAGCTAGCTTTCTCCTTTGGAAGGGTATTCATTCTTAATAAATTCTCTTGCTTTACTTGCTACTATCTACGTGTCTCTGTTCAAGTCTTTGTTCTGAGACACAAAAACCCAGAACCCCTCCAGAGGTGTCCTCTGAACTCAAAAGTGTCAGTGGGACAGACCCAGATGCAAAGCCCCAGCCTCTTCTAAAGTGAAAGGACCTTATAGTCCTCTGGGTGGCTCCTCTTTCTCTCTAAAACACCCTGTATAAAGCAGAGTACAGAATTTTTCTGGGTGTGCAGCAAAACTAGGTCTGGACTAGAGGTGTTAAGGTGCACCTCAGTGCGCCTTACCTGCCATGGAACCCACTGAAGGGACCTGCTCCCCTTTCGGCAGCCATAACAGGTGCTTGCCATAAACTTGCCTTGGTCACTTAGAGGTCAGATGCCTGTCTCGTGACAAGGAACCCATCAGAAGTTAGTCACTAGAAAGTCAGATGCCTGCCTCGTGACAAGGAACCAATCAGAAGTTAGCTGGTGGAGCTATGCTTTATGACTCTGGGTGTGCTTTACAGACAAGCGCACAGCAATGATGTAGAGAGCAAAGCAACCACCCTGGGAGGGCCTATGGGCCATAACAACCAGTTGACCAATCAACACAGGGCAAGCCCTCCAAGCCTGGAGGTACATCAATCGTGAGCCTGTGCGTACCCCTAGACACTCCCCTTATGCTGCCCTATAAGATCTCTTGGGAGGCCCTAGGAAC